GATAGGCAGTATTGGCTCTGGGCTCCCCATCAGCCTGGCCAAGACTTCTCACACATGTGCTCCAGCCTGAGGCTCCCTCTACACAGTCATCCTTCCTTCTTTCTCTCCTTGTGAGGAGTCGGACCAGCATCATGACCTGAAGGCTGTCCCTCCTCCTGCTCCCTCTTGCCTTTATTCTCCACAGGGTTTTCTGTGACTAACCTTTCGTAATTCCAACTCTGCTTGGCATCTGTTTGGCATTGGAGGACCTGAACTGGCACAATCTCTCAACCAAAAATGAGGACAAAAGTGCATCTCTCATCACAAAATTAGAGAGGTTTATGGATATTACTTGTTCTTCTTTGCCTCTTAGTTTATAATCAAGGGAGGATAAAGGAATTTCACACAGACATTTTGAGATGGCCTAAAATATAAAATCCCTCCATTTTATAGAGGAGGATGCTGATGTTTAGGAGAGGTTTCCTAATCCTGAAGTGTTCCTTGAGCACCTGTTGCATACTGCACTTTGGGCTAAACCCCTCCAGAAAGCACCAGAAGGAGTGGAGATGCCCTGCAGCTCCTGCTGACCTTCCTCCCCGAATGCCTCTGAATCCTGCCCATCTGCCATCTCTGTACCAGAGCCTGAGGGATGACTGGCCTTCCTGCTCCTTCACCTCATGCTGAACCTCCACATTGTGGCCACAGTGATCTTTTTCCTTGTAACCCTTCATATGTCAAGTGTCCAGGGCCAGTATTTTATAGCATTAAATGCATGAGCTATGGAGTGGGACTGCTTGGGTTCTAGTCCCCACTCTGCCAATTACCATCTGTATATACTTAAAGAAAGTAGTCAAGTCCCTGGCCAGACTTAGCATCTGTTAGAAGGTAATATTAATGGCCTTTTACTCAAAAGGTTGTTGTCACATTACACGAGTACGTGTACAGAGTTTAAAAACGTGAGCACAGAATAACTTGGTTGGAGTGTGTTGCTGTTGTGTGTTTTGTTATCTCACTCCCTCTCCTGGCTCTGATGTGGGAGAAAGCACAGTAGGTACAAAGGCAGCGAAACCTGACCCACGGCTTCGTATGTGACCTCCCTTCACTCCCCATGCCTTCCCTCAGACTTGAGCTCTAGTACCTGCCATATCCCACAGCCCATGCTGCGCCCATCCTGATGCTTTTCCCAGCTGTATCATCTTCCTAAAAGGTCATCCCCCATGGCCTGGCAAGTGAGCTTCTACCCACCCCTCAAGACTCTGCTCCAGGGTCGCCCACACAGAGGAGGCTGCCTGCCCCTCCTCTCTCCATGCTGAGCTACACAAAACTCAGTCAGTATGCTTTTCTTTCTTTCTTTCTTTTTTTTTTTTTTTTAGATGTTTGTCACAAGGCATTTACACTCATTGGAGAGAGGCAGAGAGAGACAGAGAGAGGGAAAGTGAGAAATCACTCCTCAGGGGGATGGCCATACCACAATCCCTTCTTCTCTGTTCTTCTCTCAGGATTTTGGGCAAGCACACATATGGGCCAAGGATGATTTTCAAGCTGTCAGGTCTGGAACTTGAACCATGGTCAACCATATGGGAATCCAGTGCCTTAACCAACACACCACCTACCGGCCCATTCAGTCAATATTCCTACAACACTGCAGTGTGTGGAGTGTCACTAAGGCATTATATAAATTTTGGTTTATTTATAATAGCATTATTCACCACAGAAGATATTTATTTATACAACGGCAAAAATGGGTAGCAACATGAATAATGCTCACCATCGAGGTTTCATTAAATAAATGGTAAAGTGTTCATATAAAATATGCAGCTATTAAAATATACTTTAAAATGTTTAATAACACAAAGTCTATAGAGAAATGGAGTTAAAATATGAGTTTACATTGGTACGAAAACTTTTGAAATCCATGCATAGTTTTTTTATAATAGGCATTTTCCATAATATATTAAGTGAGAACATAGTGTGAAGAATTATATATTCACTAAAGTCAGATGTACCAAACATGCCTTACTAAGAAGGCAGTATCTGGAATGACCAAACTGTGGATAAATTATTTTTTACATTTTTTTTAACTCTTTCCATATTTTCTGTAAGGTATATAGATAGACAGGCCTTATGCATAGAAAAACATAGAAAAATACATCATGACTTTTCCAATAATCCAATATATACATATCTTAGCATAATAAGAAATAGGCTTTTAAAGAAATTTTCATCTTCTGAAAAGCACAAGGACTGATGGAGGTAGTGATGTTCATGAATTAGTGATGCTCTTGAATGAGTCAAGGACCTGAACACCGTGTGGAGGGTACTAGAGTAGCAGAATCTAGGTAGGGAGACTAGAGAAATGCAGATTCCACTAATAAAGAAAAAGGGCATGTCTGGGAACAAAGATGAGGGTGAGTGTTGAAACACTTTGCTTGAGATGCTGCCTGAAAATCCAGGTGGAGAAGTTCAGCTCGGGTGGTGACTAAGTTCAAGGGACAGGCAAGCACAGCAGTGAAAGGAACCGAGGAAAATGAATCAGACCGCCCGTTACCATGAACCCAGTTGGCAATGCAGTGCTAAGCATATTGTCCAGTAAGCTCATTTATAAGCCATCAGCATCACCGGACATCTGTAAAAATGGCATGTCTCAGGTCATGCAAGGAAATCTTTCCGCATTTATCTCTTTAATCTGCTTGTCTCTCCGTAGGTTCACACCCGGAACACTTAGAAGTGTGTACTTACGCTGGCCACAGTGAGTCCCGACGTAGCCTTTCTGGCAGAGACAGTGGTCATCGCTGCAGCTACCTCCATTCATACAGCGGATACTGCAATGTTGTACTTGGGAGAAAAGAGAAGAATGAGTTATTCTGCCACTTAAGTGCACATATTGCGACAGTTTACAAGAGTCGATGCAGAGTTATCTGCAGGGAATGGTTTATCAGAATTCATATACTTAGGCAAAAACGACAATGCCAAACATGCTACATTGCGTGTATTAGACCATTTACAATGCAACAGAATTGCTTCTTTGACTTGTACTTTAAGAGGACTAACTGACTTCCCTGACTTGGCAGAACTTACAACTCAATGAAATCTCTGTCATTTATACCAACAAGAGAAAGAGGTGCCTTGAGTCATCAGCTGAGGCAAGATCACAATGATTGCAATTATCTTCCCCTGAAAGCATTGAAAGGCCCAGGGAGGTGGGCAGGCAAATAGAGTAACAAAGTTCCCAGAAACTTGTTGCAAGAAATTTTGGGGGCAGAATAGAGGAAAAAACAAACTAACTAGAAAGGCATTTCATCACAAAACCACCTGATGAAGAGGACAGCTGGACTTGACTTAGAAAGAGCTGCTTCCGTAAACTGTAACCTCAAACTAAAGAGCTTCAGTGTTTGAAATCCGCTTTGTCACATTTTCACCTACAGAAGTATGTGTTTCAGGGCCCGGAGTAGAAAGACACTGGTGCAGAGCTTAGAGCTGAGACAATGAGGCCCTGGGGAAAGCTGGCATGAAAGACAGGAAAGATTTGTACAGCACAGGCCTGCGCTCACATCCCTGGAGCGTAGTCTGTCCCTACTTCAGTGGTCTGGGTCATTCCCTACTCCTCCAGAAGTGACAACTATCCTACGGGAAGACTACAGGCTTGATTGAATTAATCCTTAATTCACATCCTGACACAAGGAGGCCAGGACTGGGCATTGGAAGACTGGCTCATTCTGCCCTGGTCTTACTGGACAAAATTCCCAGAGGAAAGGCTCAACAACTTTACCTAGGAGAAGAGACGCCCTCCTTTCTGTGCTGGAACAGGAATCAGCTGCTATGCTCACTCCTCGGCTCATCTTTCTGGAGCATAGAGAAGACTCCTCCCAGCAGCCACCCTCTTTGCTACTCTATGTTAGGGGTTCTCATTACAGTACTGAAGAGTACTACTGGACTTCAGAGAAAGGGCGGTTTTTATAAGGAGCTGAACAAACCTCAGCCTGATGACAAGGAAAGGAAGGTACAGGAAGCTCCTCTCCCCATCACCTCTCTCTCACTTATGCATGCACTATCATGAATTTTTAAAAATTAAATAAATTTTTTAAAAGAATTAGCTCTATCTCTCAGCATTCAAGACCATCCTCAGCATGGCCCTTGTTTGCACGCTCCTATTGGGTTGTTAGAAAAGTCATGATGCATTTTTGCATTAAAAAAAAAAATAGAGGGGACCAGCAGGTGGCATGGTGGTTAAGGCGCTGGACACTCCCACATGGCTGACCAGGGTTCAAGTCCTGAATCTGGTGGCTTGCTTTCTCACTTCCTCTCTCTCTCACTCTCACCCTCTGTCTCTCTCTGGTCAAATTAAAAAATGAATGAATAAATAAATAAAATAAAATAAAAAATTATTTTTAAAAATAGAAAAAAGTATATCATGCCTTTTCCAATGATGAAATAATATACCCTATGATTCAGTCCTCTGATCCTACTCAATGAATACTTCCTAGTGGCTACTGCGCCCCACACAAAACAGCAGGCACTTTGTGCTAATCTTCTCATGAAATTCTCCCTCTAATCTGTTTTGTTTTTTATCTCTTTGCCCTAACTATTGGCCCCCAACACACAACATACACAGAGTTCCCACCGAGTCTGAAATCCCACCTATCTCCAAGACTCATTTCAAATGTCTCTTCTTTTTCTAGATTTTCTCTCATTTCTGTTCTCCTGGTCCGAGTACTTGACACTTCTCTTTCGAAGTACATATTATATACTATAACCTAGGTTTTGGTTATTTCCCCTATCCCAACCAATTTGTCTAAAAACTTGTTGAGAGTGGAGAGTGTCTGATTATTAATAATATCCCCCCATAAGTGCCTAGACAGCACCCTGCCTGTATGTAGACAACATATAAAATTGTGCTAAATTAATTGCTATTCACTTAGCTCATACTAGCTGGCAATGACATCAAAATATATGCTCAAAAATCAAAATGAGACTGAAAAGTTGACCACTGTCACCTAAGCACCTAGAACAGCCCTAAGTAGGTAGCAATTAAAATAGTTATCTTTGTCTCCTCCTATATAAAAGCAGAAATAACTCCTTTGTTGAAGCAATGGTATAGAAATCAAGCAACCCAGGAAACTGATTAAAACCAATTTGTCATTGCAGGCTCCTATGACTCCATTAAAACATCAGCTGAAATGCTTTTTTAACTAAAAAGCTATTTTACAAGTAGAAAAGGGGAAAAAAAGACTTGGTGAAAGCTTTGGATAATATTCTAACTAGGTCAGGAAAAGGTGTATAGTTGCTTTAAAATCTGAAGTTAAACTTAGCTTCATCCTATCTTAGAAAAACAGTAAGGATTGGGAAAAGCACAGGAAATGATGTCTCCTGCCAAGCAGCATAGGCACTCAGTCCGCAAACTGATTTCAATTAAAGCAGCTCATGCCAAGAGCTAATTTCCATTCCCACATGAGCAACAAAGCCATTTAGCTACTTGGAGATAAAAAAGCGAACCGTGGTTTAAATAGTGACTTTACATTATTTGTTCAAGCTGAAAATCAGAATGAATACTTCTTTCTGGGAAAAATGATAACTTTGCATTTAAATGCAATCTAATAAAAACCTCCCACATGTGCTTTGATTTCCTTTCCCCCCCCTTCCAGCTTTTTCCAGCGTAAGAGATTTTTCTTTAAAAAATAAAGCCACCAGGTCAGACTAGTGAAGCAACAAGCAGGGTTAGTCCAGTGGCCCACAGAAACAGATGAACCACGAATCCTTGGGGACAGGAGAGGAAGCAAGCTGGTCAACAGAAAATGGAATCTGAATTACCTGCTTTGCCACAAACATGTTTACCGTGAGAAACTTCACATTCTTCCCGAGTCTTGGATTTTTAGGGGGAAAAGTATTTCTTTTCTTTCCTTTTCTTTCTTTCTTTTTATTTATTAATTTATTTTTAATGTTATTACCATGGATGTGCATTTGCCAGAGAGAAGAAGAGAGAGAGAGACAGTGAGAGGGAAAAATCACCCTCCTGGGGAGGTGGCCATGCCACAATCCCTTCTCCTCCATTCTCCTTTCAGGATTTTGGGCATGCACACACAAGTGCCTGGTGTGATTTTCAACCCACTAGATCCAAGACTCAAACTGCAGTCAGCCATGTGGAAGTCTAGCGCCTTAACCACCTGCTGATCCAGAAAGCATTTCTTTTCTTTTTTCTTTTTTTAGTTTCCAACAATTGTTTTTAATAGTTTAAACATGGGATAAAATTATCTAAATGATTCCTTTAAAGGTGGGAGAAACCATTGGGGATTTCTGTGGGCAAATGAAGGAACTAGGTATGCATCTTCACTACACAAGTAGGAAACGGTTTAGAGAGTATATATACAAAATCAGTTTGCTTCAGCAGGGGCTCCACTTACACCCACAGGGTGCTATATCCTTTACTGGATATTCTAAATACGCCAAATCTGAATTTATTCTTAAACTCAAGGCAGCAGCTACACACTGTGTAGAGGAAGCTAGATACCACATGGCCAACTGGGGTTTGAATCCTGGCCCTGGTGACAGTATGCCAGGAATGCATGCATGCCCAGAATCCTGACACAATGAAAAACTGCAGGAAGGACTGGAGCATAGTCAGGTTTTCTCTCTTTTACTCTCAGACACACTCTATCATGAATAAAGGAGGAAAAAAATAAAGAAAAAGGGTTAAATTCACACTGGGCCTGTGTGCGTTCGTGCCCATGATCCTGAGAGGAGAATGGAGGAGAAGGGATTACAACATGGCCATCCCCCCTGGGGGGTGATTTCTCATTTTCTGTCTCTCTGTCTCTCTCCATCTTTCTGGTGAGCACATGTGCCCTATAGCAAAAAACTCTCCAAAAATATAAATAAACAAAAATTTAAAAAAAGAAAATGTTCCTAAACTTGAACTGTGTGAAGATTTTAATCAGAAACTTGGGAACAGCAGTTGGCATAATGGCTATGTCGCTGGACTCCCATGTAGTTGACTATGGTTCGAGTCCCAGATCCAGTGGCTTAAACTCATGCCGGGCATGTGTGTGTGTGTGTGTGTGTGTACCCAAGATCCCAAGAGGAGAATGGAGGAGAAGGGATTGTGGCATGGCCATCCCCCCTCCGGGGTGATTTCTCGCTTTCTGTCTCTCTGTCTCTCTCTTTCTGGCGAGTGCACATGCCCTATAGCAAAAACCTCTCTCTCAAAAAAAAAAAAATTTATCAGAAACTGAAAATTCTAGGAAGTCAAAATGTCAGTGTCCAGGCTTTGCAGGAACCCTGGGAACCCTGCAGCCACAATGAAGACATCCCCTGAGCAGGGGCAGACAGCCCAATGGGTTCCATATAGGGCTCAATATCCTAGCACTAACAGAAGATGCTGCCATTACCTGTGTCCACAAAGAGTGCCAGATTAACTATGTTCATTTCAGAGATTAGATGGTCCCTTCAGTCACTCAACAAGTATTTTTTTTGAACACCTTCCATTTGTCAGGCATCAGAAAAAGTAGAAAGAAGAAAGGTTCTTTAGACTATAGCCCAGTACAGATTATTATTTTTCTAGAGAGATTTTTGCTATAGGGCACATGTGCTTGCCAGAGAGACAGAGACAAAGAGACAGAAAGTGAGAAATCACCCCTCGGGGGATGGCCACACTGTAATCCCTTCTCCTCCTTTCTCCTCTTGGGATCTTGGGCACGCACGTACACGTGCCTGGCATGAGTTTAGGCCGCTGGGTCCAGGACTTGAACCACGGCCGACTACATGGGAATCAGTGATATAACCATTATACCATCTGCTGGTGCCCAGATTAATTCTTAAAATGACTAGCCAGAAGAGAATAA